AGATAATGTATGTTTTTTGGTTAAACTGAACTATACAATAGCAACAAGTTACTTCTTCAATGTCTTTGCAGTATTTAGATTATTTTAAATGAGATTTAAGAACCTGAATGAGTAAATAATTCCAGATTTGTGACATACTTTGCTCAAAATCAACAGTCAGTTCCTTTAATGAGAATTATTATGTAAGGGCAAAACAAAAGTAAAAGATGTTTATTTCTTTTTTTAAAATTTCCTCCTCCCTCTCGGGGAACATCTAGCTCAGTTGGCATAACATAGTTTATAAAGACAATGTTCTACATTCTACCTTGGTGAGTAGCGTCTGGGGTCTTAAAAGCCTGTGAGCAGCCATCTCAGATACTTCACTGGTCTCACCCCTTCGGGAGCAAGGGAGAATGAAGAGAACAGGATACGTGGAAAAGATTAGTCCAAAGGACTAATGGACCACAGCTACCAAGGCCTCCACCAGCCTGAGTCCAGTACAACTAGATGGTTCCCAGCTACCACCACTGACTGCTCTGACCGGGGTCACAACAGAGGGTTCTGGACAGATTTGGAGAAGGATATAGAACAAAATTCTAACACACACGAAAAGACCAGATTTACTGGACTGACAGAGACTGGAGAAACTCCGAGAGTATGGCCCCCGGACACCCTTTTAGGTCAGTGGTGAAGTCACTCCCAAGGTTCACCATTCAGCTGGGGGTTGGACAGCCCCATAAAACAAAACGGGACTAATGAGGCACAGCAGTCCAACTCGAAGGCAGAAGGGGACAGGAAAGCCGGTGATAGGGAACCCAAAGTTGAGTAAGGACAGTGTTGACATGTAGTGGGGTTATTAACCATTGTCATAGGGCAATATGTGTACTGCTTAATGAGAAACTGTTTTGTTGTGTAAACCTTCATCTAAAGTGAGAATAGCAGCACAACTGAAAGAACATAATCGATGTCACTGAGTTGCACATGTAGAAATTTTTGAAATGGTATATCTTTGGCTATGTATATTGTCACCAAAAAAAAGAAGATCCTCCAAGGTCAAGAAGGGAGAGTATTGACGTGTTGTGGGGTTGTTAACCAATGTGATAAACCAATATGTGTACTGACTGTTTAATGAGAAACTATTTGTTCTATAAACCTTTACCTAAAGTACAATAAAAAAAAAAATTTCCTCCTCCCTCTTCATAACCTCCATACAGTTAGCACAGTGCCCAGGCACAGTAGGTGCTCAGTTTTTATTGTAGTGAGGTCAGAGTAAGTGTGCATGTCTTTGATTCATCTTAAAAATGTATGCCTCCTTTTTTTGAAGCTCATAATGCCTGTATTGCCATTTGCTGAATTTAAACAAAATATGCCAGTTGGTTTCCTGCAAACACAAGCTTATGATCACCTACCAAGAGCATTTCTAAGGGAAAAACCTCATATTGGAATAAGGTTTTTTGTTTTTGTTTTTTTCACAATTTCATAAAGATCATGTCCTAAGGTAGGAATTTTTATTCAGACTTAACATCAGCAGTTGATCTGGGGTTGTTACATAACTACATGGAAAGCATCTTAAAAATTTGAATGCCTGTATTTAAAGTGCTTGATGGTGCCATCTAGTGGTATAAGTACAATGGAATGTGCACTTTTATTCCTCAGTTCTCTGGGGAAAAAATTTGTGTTTTTTTAAACTCAGTTTTAGAGTAAAAGTTTAATGCAATATCCAAGTATAAAATGCATGTATATTTCTTTACTATAAAACCTCCATTGAGGATTCTTAGAAATTTCACAAAAACTACAAGCAACAAGAGAAAAAGTTGATAAATTAGACTTCATCAAAATGAAAAACTTTCCTGCATCGAAGGACACTATTGAGAAAGTGAAAAGACAAACTGCAGAATGGAAGAAAATATTTTCAAATCATATATCTGATAAGGATCAAGTATGCAGGATATGTAAAGACCTCTTACAACTCAATGACAACCAATTAAAACATGGGCAAAGGCATCACACAAATAGACAGATGCACACCCAAGTTCATTGCAGAAATGTTCACCATAGCAAAAAGATGGAAACAACCTAGGTGCCCATCAATGGACAAATAGATAAACAAATTATGGTATATTCACACAACAGAATACTACGCAACAATAAAGAACAACGATGAATCCTTGAAACATAACATGGAAGAATCTGGAAGGCATTATGCTGAGTGAATTTAGTCAGTCATAGAAGGACAAATATTGTATAAGACCACTGTTACAAGAACTCAAGAAAAGGTTTAAACTCAGAAGAAAACATTCTTTGATGGTTATAAGGGTGGGAAGGGAGGGAGAGGGTTATTCACTAACTAGATAGTAGACAAGAGTTATCTTAGGTGAAGGGAAGGACAATACACACTACAGAGGAAGTTAGCACAACTGGAGTAAAACTAAAAGCTAAGAAGTTTCCTGAATACAACCAAACACTTCGAGGGACAGAGTAGCAGGGGCGGGGTTCTGGGCACCATGGTCTCAGGGGACATCTAGGACATCTAGGTCAATTGGCATAACAAAGTTTATTAAGAAAATGTTATGCATCCCACTTTGGTGAGTGGCATCTGGGTCTTAAAAGCTAGTGCACAGCCATCTAAGATGCATCAATTGGTCCCAACCCACCTGGAGCAACGGAGAATGAAGAACACCAAAGACACAGGAAACTATTAGCCCAGGAGACAGAAAGGGCCACATAAATCAGAGACTGCAACAGCCTGAGACCAGAAGAACTAGATGGTGCCCAGCTACCACCAGTGACCTCCCTGACAGGGAACACAACAGAAAGTCCCTAATGGAGCAGGAGAAAAGTGGGGTGCAGAACTCAAATTCTAGTAAAAAGACCAGACTTAATGATTTGAGACTGGAGGGACCCCAGAAGATACAGCCTCTGGACTCTCTGTTAGCCCAAAACTAAAACCATTCCCGAGGCCAACTCTTCAGACAAAAATTAGACTGGACTACGGGACATAAAATGATACTTGTGAAGAGTATGCTTCTTAGCTCAAGTAGATACATGAGACTAAGTGGGCAACTACTGTCTGGAGGTGAGGTGAGAAGGCAGAGAACGTCAGGAGCTGGTTGAATGGACACAGGAAATTCGGGGTGGGAAGGAAGAGTGTGCTGTCACAGTATAGGGAGAGCAGCTAGGGTCACATAACAATGTGTGTATAAATTTTTGTGTGAGAAACTAATTGTAAACTTTCACTTAAAGCACAATAAAAAAATTTTTTTTAAATGAGCAAAGGACTTGAATAGACACTTCTCCAAGAAGCTATACAAACGGCCAATAAGCACATGGACAGATGCTTCATGTCATTAGAAATGCAAATCAAAAGGACAATGAGATGTCACTTCACACCTGGCAGTATGGCTAGATTAAAAACAAAATAACATTAAAAAAAAAGAAAATAACAAGTGTTGACAGGATGTGGATAAATTGCAACCCTCATACATTGGTGGTGGAAGTATAAAATGGTGCAACTGCTCTGGAAACAGTTTAATGGTTCCTCAAAAAGTTAAGCATAGAATTATCATATAACCCAGCAATTTCAGTCCTAGGTAAATATTCAAATGAATTGAAAACAAGTGTTCATACAAAAAGTTCATAGCATCATTATTCTTAGTAGCCAAAAAGTGGAAACAGCCCAAATGTCCATCAACTGATGAATAGATAAGCAAAATGTAGTATATCCATACAATGGGATATTATTCAGCCATGAAAGAGGAACACAGTGCTGATACATGCTGCAACACGGATGAACATTGAAAATATTATGCTAAGTGAGAGAAGTTAGACATAAAAGGCCACATATTTTATGATTCCATTTATATGAAATGTCCAGAGTAGACAAATCCATAGAGACAGAAAGCAGATTAGTGGTTGCCAGGGACTGGAAGAAGGAGGGAATGGGGCGTGACTGCTTAATGGATATGAAGTTTCTTTTGGGGGTAATGAAAATATGGTGGAATTAGATAGTGGTGATGATTGCATAACATTGTGAATGTACGAAAAGCAGCTGAATTGTACGCTTTAAAATGGTTAGGATGGTGAATTTTATGTGAATTTTACCTTAATTTAAAAGAAAAAAAAAAACTTCCATTGATGACAAGACTAAACTTTTTTGAATTATTATTCTTACAGGTACATTTCCCCATAGTTGTTGTTAGTATGTATTTATTTTATTTTGTTCTGCTTTATTTAACCAAAAATTATTCAATAGAAACTTCTTCATCTTTACAGTCTTAACAGTTTTTATTTCACTGTATATTTTAAGTGACTATGTATATCATAGCTTAGTCATTCTTCCACTGTCCAGTGGCTTTCTCTTCTGTTTTTCAATTCCAAAGAGTACTGCTATAAATGTTTAAACAAATAAGAATGTTTAAAACCCTTTATAGTTAATACATTGGTGTTTCTTGCCCCAAAACAGTGTCCTTGAATCACTTTTTTGGTATTATTTCTATTGTGCTTTTTCTCTAACTGCTCTCTAATAAGAATATATTAACTTATAATTCTACCAATAGTGGATGAGGAAACAATAAAGGAGATTAATGTTTAGCAAGTGTCTATTCTAGGCATTGTGCATAGATTCGTTCAAATCCATTATTTTATTTAACTGCCACACCTACTCTGTTATAAAGTGGCTACAGAAGTTGACACAGTTAGTAAGTGAACAAGCAAAGATCAGAACCTAGGCTTTTTGTCTCCAAATTTTGTCCTGTTTTTCTACAGCTTTACAAATGTTGGATTTTATTTTTTCTGTTCCTATTTATTAAAGAGAGTCAACATTTTCCAGGTGGTTGTCTACTGCTTGTATTTCCTCTTACATAATAATCTGTATCTTTTGTCCATTTATTATTAATAATAGATTTTAAACTGAATTAGCTAGTTTTCTTGTAGGCAGTAGGCATTATGTGTCAAAGTTTTATTATGTGTGTGTGGGGGTATATATATATATTTTTTTTTTTTTTTTTACTCCTATATTACAGGCCCTTGATGGAAATGTTTATGATCACCTGAAGGATTATTTAATAGCCTTCAGCCAGACTGAGCTAGAGACATGCCAAGCTGTGCAGAACACATTCCAATCTTTATTAGAAACCTCCAGCAAGGTAAGGCCTAACCAAGTTACTTTCAGTGCAATAGGTGATAAGTTATTCATTTTAGAATCTACAGTGTTTTTGCATACAAACAAAATAAAAGTGCTAGTGATATTAGAAGAATGCTTTAAGGAACACATTTCCTGGAAACAGCATTCCTTGTAACAAAGTTGGAAGATGTTCTGTCCTCCTTGCTGCTGTGTTGGTGAAGGTGGTACCAAGCAAGAAAAGGGAGGTGATGGTTCGGGCTAGCTCAGAGCATCAGTCCGTTGCTTTGTACATTGCTTTGAACAGAAGGGTTTAAAGAGTTTTATCATCTACTCAGATGAGTTTTGAGTGCTCTCAACTCAGTCATTTGAGGGAGCAACAAGGTCATATGTCAGTGCAAAGAACAATAAAGAGCACAAAGGGGAAAATAACATTTTGTAATTGATAAATGAGTATTTTTAACATCTTGTAAACCTTGCTTTCTATATACTGCTGTTCTTTGACAGTAGTCTTTTCATTCAAAAGTGTTGAAATCCATCAACTTTGCTCGTTTTGTGGTTGCCTCTATCACCCCTTTGGAATGCAAGGATGAGCCATTTAGGTAGCTCAGCCCTTCCACTCCATGTTTCAGACCCTGTTTGCAGCATATGCCTGGTTTTGGTCTCATGCTGACACTTCTGACACAATAGACTAGCAGTGATTTTGCAGCTAGGACCCAGGGCAGCCAAGAAAATGGACTCAGGAAGTGGGAGGTCATACACTTACATGCAGTGCTTTCCATTCTTCTTTCTGCTATACTTTACTGTCTCTTTAGCTTATATTATTTTCATAAAAAAGGAATTAAAAATTTATAAGCTAGCTTGGACACTTAAAGAGATACGCTTTCATTTTCTTCTACATTCACTCATGAGTATCTCGTTCCCTGGGGATGAGGAATAAATGAGAGGCCCTTATGTTTAGACTGAAAGTGGTAGGTATAAAAATTTAATAAGAATGATGTATCTAGGAGATGTACCCTTTTGTTCCAAGTACCAGAAGAGCTTACACCTGCAAGTCTTACGCCATGTGCTTTTCTGTTACAAAGAGCTTGTTATTTTGCCCTTGTTATACTGCTAAAAGCAACCAGGGATGTGATAACCCAAAGGAAAGTTTGAAAGTCTTTAGGTTTTTATTCTACCACTATTATTACCTTGTCATTTGGCGGGGATAGGGGGGGATTCATCTTTTCCCTCATGTCCAAAATGTAACTGTATATATTTCCAAGGACATTATGGGGGTAGTTCATGACAAACTGTAACTGTTCAGGTGCTTTGTGTATCTTTCATCCCCTAAAGAGAAAAGAAATGACTGGAGCTTTTGTTAATTTTTAATGATTGATGAAGCAGGTTTTTCTCCTTAATAATTTATGAAATGCTTTGGATGTGTAACTGCAGCAGATATTGTCATAGATATTTTCTCTAAGATAGTAGCTTCAGAGAAAGCACTACTGGCCTTTCTGGTTTGTTTATGTATACTTGCTTTCTGTCTGCATAAGGAAACGCCTACCAGTTAATACCATGGCTGTTCTAACAATTCAGAAAATAGTAATGTTATTCTGTATTTCCTTGGAAACTAAATTGTCTAGTGTTGCCAGTCTTAATACCTGGAAAACTAACCAAAAAGTAAACTTACAGTTTAATTATTATAATTATAGTAGTTAAAAGTAAAATATCAGTTATCTTTCAGAACTTTGTTCTCACTAAGATTTTTTTTTTTACTTTGATAAGATTATTTGAATATATTTTTCCATCCTCTAAATGGATTAGAATCCAGAATACCGTAATACCTGTTCTAGAAGAGTGTGTCATGTCAAATTAAACATTTTAACAACAGGAAAAATAGAAGGAGAATTGATAATAAGCATAACATTTTCCTTTGGGATTGGATTTTCAGTATCATTACTAAACTTTCCCAGAAGGTAAAGGGGGAATAATTCAGTCTTTTGAACACTGACAGAGGTTCAGTCAACTCTAAGTCTTTCACATAGCAGTTTTACAGTTTGGAGCTGACCTAATAGAGTCTTTCTTTCTTTTTTTTTTTTTTTGCCTCACTCATGCCCAAAAAAAAAAAGCCACCTGCATTTATTTCACTGACAATTTGAGTTACCTGAATTTTTTATCCTTTTCATGAGGATGCTATTTTAGATTTTGATGATCAGGTTAAATATAATTCTCTCCCAGAAGCTCTTCTGTATGTGGAACCTTATTTAATGGCTTCCCCAAAATATTTAATTCTCCCTGCAGAACTATGAACTCCTTAGGCAGGGATCAAGTCTTAACTGTTTTGATATTCTTAATGCCTAGCACTTAGTTGGCATGCAGTAAATATTTGAATGAATGATTCTTACGTTCAAAACAATTTGGTAAGTAGTTTTTGAATTTTTGTAACACTTATTCCTTTTCAGGACATCCCTTCATGCTTCCAATTTTATTCCTTCATGCAACAATTTTTTTTTTTAGTTTATTTTTTGTTGTTGTCATTGAGAATATACACAGCAGAACATACACTAATTCAACAATTTCTACATGTACAATTCCATGACACTGATTACATTCTTCAAATTGTGCAACCATTCTCACCCTCCTTTTCCCAATTGTTCCTCCCCAATTAGCATAAGCTCACTGCCACCTAAGTTTCCTATCTAATCTTCAAGTTGTTGCTGTCAATTTTATCCCATATAGGTAGTTATTAAAAGAATACAGTGCTTAAGGCAGACATTCTTTACTAATTAAGTTAAATTATTGTTTGGTTTAAAGAAGATTTCGGGGGATATTTTTGGTTTAAGTTTTAAAGAATATCTACAGCAATAGTTTAAGGGGTTAATTCAACAAATATTTATTAAATGTTTATGTTGTACCATGTCAAAACCTTGAAAGCATTTATTCTGCCTTCTATAAACTGTATCTCAAAGTAACTAAATAGTTGACTTGGGAAAGTTTCTCTTATAGAATTATAAACATATTCCAGCCTATAAATGAAAAAGGAATAGTCGAAAAATCTCTCTTTTTGCAACCCCTAATGAATTAATGGATTTAGGCATTTATCATCAAAGGCTGTTGTATTAGCTTCCTAGGGCTGCTTTAACAAATCACCACAAACTACATAGCTTAAAACAGAAATTTATCCTCTCACAGTTTTGAAGGCCAGAAGTCCAAATTCAAGGTTTTGACAGGGCCACACTCCCTCTGAGGGCTCCTGACAAAAAACCATTCCTTTCCTCTTCCAGCTTCTGGTAGCTCTAGTCTTTCCTTGACTTGTGGCTGTGTTGCTCCAGTCTCTGCCTCCATGGTCCCATTGCTTCCTTCTCTACTGTCTGTGTTCTCCTCTGTATGTCTCTTATAAGGACACTTGTCATTGGCTTTAGGGCCCACCCGGGTAATGCAGGATGATCTTATCTGAAAATCTTTCATTTAATCCTTAGCTTTTTTCCAAATAAGGTAATATTCACAGGTTTCGGGGATTAGAACATGGACATATCTTCTTGGAGGCCACTGTTCAGCCCTCTACAGCTGTTAACATCATAAAAGGAGAGACAATAAGGGGCAATCTTCCTCATGGAAGTAAACACTACCTATAAGGTATTATTGTAAAAAAAAAAACAAAAAACCGTAGGCGGCATCATTCACTTGCATTGTGGGGGCCTTGTTTGGATCCTGATTTGAACAAACTATTTAAAAAACATGAAACAATCAGGAAAATTTGAACACTTATTGGAGATTTTATAAATATTTGTTGGAAATTTTTATATAGATAGGTTTTTAAAAGAGTTCTTATATCTTTTAAATATACTGAAATATTTTTGGATGAAATATGTCTCGGACTTATTTCGATATAACTGGGATGGAGGGGAGAGGTGGTACGTTTATAGATGAAACAAGATTGGCCATGAGGTGATGTTTTTGGAAGCTAGGTGATAATTACATGGGGATACATAATATGTTATTTCTATGCTTTCATATGTTTTTGAAATTTTCCCTAACAAAAAGTTAAAAATTAAAAAAGATTGAAACACACCCCCTACTCAAAAAAAAAAAAAAGAGAGAGAGATCTGTAGTGCTCGACAGGATAGGTTTGGTGACTAGAAGGGTGATCCCCTTAGTCTTTTCTACAAGGTGATTATTGGGGCTTTCAGGGCAGTGTCAAGAGCTTTCACATCTATTCTAGCTTAAAACTGGAATCCAGGAAAAGAACAAAAACACATTTCTCTTTGAGAATATGTTTATCCACCCAGCCTTCCCTGACCAAATTCTCCCAACCACTTCTAACCTCATTCCACCCCTTCAGTCTGGACTAAGTATCGCCCTCTTTTGTGTTTTCCTAGTACTCTCTACGTACTTCCACTGTGTATTTTAATTGGGTAACCTGTTTGATTCCCCCAGTTTCCAGATTATAAATTCCTTGAAGATAATATTCATCTTTGTTCATGTATATACCCTCCTACCCCCACATTTAACATTGGGCATGGTAAATTTCTTAATAAATGTTGAATGAAGAGGGATGACAACAGAGAACTGGGATTGTGCTGGTAAATAAAATGCAAAACATATGTCCTGCTTTTCTCTGTCTCCTCAATAAACCCTTTCCCAGTACTGCTAAGGTAAAGGTACAGAGCTACTTTGAACTTTTTTTATTTTTCTGCCCATCCTCTAGCAGAGGTGCTACTGAGCTATATAATAGACTGCAAAAGAAAAATAAGAAGCAAAGGGTAAGCAATATACACAAGATAGAAATGTGTTTCTGTACAATCCAATGTTTCTGTTATCCAGTCTTTCCTAGGGTATACAATGCAGTGTGAATCCTTTTCGGATGGCTCTTTCTGGGCTGTTTGTTTTGCTGCTTTCTGTGTATCAGAATTCCCTTTCTATATAAATTCCTTTCTAGTCTATCTTCTTGGTATGCTCTAAGATGGTAGTTAGGATGTAACCTCCTAGAAGAGGTGCAAGAAGTAATATGAAAATACTATTTTGTACTGTGGATGGGCATGTCTGTCAGTTTTATAGTGGATGGCAATCTCTTTAAAACAGACTTTGTTGTTGTGTGCCATCGAGTTGATTTCAATTCATAGCAACCCTATATGACAGAGTAGAACTGCCCCATAGGGTTTTCTTGGCTATAATTTTTACAGAAGATCGCCAGGTCCTTCTGTGGAGCTGCTGGGTAGGTTCAAACCTCCATCCTTTCCATGAGCATCCGAGCACTTAACCATTTTGCCACCAGGGCTCCTAAACAGACTTTAGAGACCCATCAAACTTTAGAACTGAAAGAGACCTAAAAAGCCAATGTGCTTTCTTATCCACACCCCCCAGTAAAAAGAATAGCTTTTTGTGTAATAGCTATCTTCTTGTCATCCTAAAATATTATATATTGTCTAGTCCTAAAATCTGGGCCAGTTTCTAAACTAGTACTTTCCAAATTTAGATCCTTGAGAAAAGAGGACAAACAGAGTAAGAACTGTTTTCTAAAATGAAAAACAAAATGTATAACATTACCGTTTTTTAACCACATTGTGTTGAGTGATTTCTCATTTGTATAAAAAAACAGAATAAAACTTACATAGATAATTACTGAACATTTTAACTTTATTAAAGGCTTAAAGATATTTTATTTTCTCTTTAGGTGATACGGGACTATAATCTTCAGCTGTTTTTACAAGAGAATGCTGTATTTCACAAACCCCAGCCTTTCCAGTTCCAGCCTTGTGACAGTGATACTGTAAGGAAATTTCAGATTTGCATTTTATTTGCTGTTCAGCTGTGTTTGTGTTCAAATGACTGTTATCCCTGGAATAGACAGACAGAAAAAGCTGAGTGTATTTCATTAATTTTATAACAAAACTGTGAGGATGCTGATGAACTGACATTTCTTCTTTCTAAAATATTACTAACATACCCACTGTCTTTGTGCTAACTTTCTACTAAACGGGGCTAAATTATAAGACGAATTATTGAAAATCTGAAAACAGAGGGAAGAAGAAAAAATATTCAGTAATTATGTTTTCAATTTGAGTATGAAGTACCATATTTTTACGCAAATAACTCACACCTTCTCCATTTGTATGCCAACCACGCCCTCTCCCTGTGAGGTATTTTCATAAGCGCCGCTATGCCAATTTTTTTTATATGTTGCTGTGAAAAGAATTAGCATAGCACAATTGCAAAAATAACTCGCAGGGCGTAGGACTCAGTTGACAGACACAAGTAGAAGGTACATGTTATTTGCATAAAAAATACAGTATACTTTCTATCCTTTAAATTTTTCACATTATATCCTTCCAAAGAAATCAGTGATTAAGTTTTAATGAGAATAGAATTAATAAATAGAATAATGAATATGTACATGTAAATATTTTGATTGGCTTTGTAAAAAAAATTACAGGCCCTTTATAATTCCTTTCAGATCTCTTAGAATGTTAAAGTACTAACATAAATCCCAAACTGACCTTTTTTTCTGTACTTTAGATGAAGGTTTACAGAGCAAACTAGTTTCTCATTAAACAATTAATGCACATATTGTTTTGTGACATTGGTTGCCAACCCCAAGACATGTCAACACTCTCCCTTTCTTGACCTTGCGTTCCCCATTACCAGCTTTATCTGTCCCCTCCTGCCTTCTTGTCCTTGCCTCTGGGCTGGTGTGTCCATTTAGTCTTGTTTTGTTTTATGGGCCTGTCTAATCTTTGGCTGAAGGTTGAACCTCAAGAGTGACTTCATTACTGAGCTATAAGGGTGTCCGGGGGGCATACTCTCAGGGTCCAAATTGACAGTTTTTAAAAAGCAGGTGTGATTATGATTTTTAAAGATTTTTAATCATACATTTTTCTCCTTGAGCTTTCTATGAAAAATGTTTGCCATTATTTGAATTTTTAAAAAATGCTAATTTAATAACATAAAAAAAAATAAATTTAACTTCTGCAAGTGAGAAAGCACATGTTGGCATCACTAGCATATTCTCTCAATGTAGGCAAGCCAAGAGGGAAGTCAAATTATATTCATAAGGTTTTTTGGTAAACCTAGAATCGGAACCAGGGGAATTTATAATATAGTTTCCGTGTTTAGTGGTATCTGTTTAATAGAAATTCCTTTGTTAGAGATATCTTCATTTTTTTACATTGTAGATTTCTTACATTACTTTTCTTACATAGCCATTCTGTTAGTGGCTATATAAAGAATATAGGAACTCTCTAGATTTTAAGCCTGTCCCTTTACAGCAATGCCCTTTATCAGTCGACTTTCGCTTATTGACTCAGTGACATTGTCATATAATTTGACTTCTTTGAAGCCTGGGATGAATAGGTGGAGCATTAGAAAATACAGGATGTGGACAAGAGTGTGTCAAGCTTGACTTAAAATTGTGACTAATTTTAGATCATTTAATCTTTGCCCACTTTTCTCAGAAAAATCAAAACATGACTCTCATCTCACTTTTCCAAAGCCCAAAGAGCAACCCTAAAATTCTTCTGTTTCTAGACACTGTGCTAAATATTCTTAGCTATTGTGTCCTTGTTTGCCTTAAAATTCTAACTCTATGCTATGTTTTCTGTCCTTGTGCAATCTTTACTGGGCAGAGTTTAACAGCTGCCCAACTGGTGGATATTGAGCTCTCCCCTGTCAGTGCTCTGAGAATGACCATAGCTGAGGTATATGGGGTGTGGGCCAAGGGTGGGAGGGATGGGATGTGTGGGTTTGCATGTTAATGAAGGGTGGGACCTGTTGTGGGGCTGAAAGTCATTTATATGTTTGAGGGGCCATTGGATGTATAAGCCATTTTCCATTTTGCAGTATAAATTCGGGATTTCCTTTCCTGTTTATAACAGAAAGACTGAGCTTCTCGTTTTACTTCTCGTCTTATCTGAAGCACCTTATTTTCCTCAACAGGGGATACTGGAAATAACCTAAGAGCTAATCTTGCAAACCTTATTTTTTAAAGCCTAGAAGGAAAAGGGACTGTCCAGGGTAATACAGTGAATTAATGACACATTAGTGTCCTGATTGCGGTATCAGTGTTCTTTCCTCTATGCTGTTTCATTTTCTGAGAAGAAATGTCCATCAGTTTCTTTTTCAGAATGGAAAAACATAAATGTCCACACTTTTATAAAAATCTTTCTAGATTGTCAACAAGTCTTTAGAATAATCATGTTGAAAATGTTTCTGACCACAGAATGTTTTTGTGTGTAATTTTTGTTTTGTTATAAATTAAGTATTTTTACTGCCCACAAGAATAAAACTCCAAATAATTTTTCACTCAGTATAGACAAGTACTGCTTTTTCAAGTGAGAGTGGAGCCATTGTTTACTTGCTTTCCTGGTTTTGTCCTGGGGTTGGTAGCACTGAGCATGTCATGAAATGGGGAGCACCAGTCAGTGCCCTCCCCTTACCTCACTCTTCGTACCGAGTGGAATCTAGGACATGTGGGAAGGAAGGAGCACCACTCTCTTCACTTCTATTTCTGAAATTGCTCTTGTTCCCATCCTGTTTTTTGAAACATATTTCTATTCAGCAAACACTGAGCCCCTAGTGAATGTGCCAATCACTCAGCTAGATGCAGAGGACAGCTACTACATGCTAAGCTACACACCCTAGCCTACATGAGCTCACTGACATGTACGTAAATAAGCATAATACAGTAAGATAAGTGCTGTATGTGATAGAGTGCTGTTAGTGCCCAGTGATGGGTACAGTCATTACATCCTGATGTGGTGCAATTTTTTTTTACAACTTTATGAGGCATATTTTACATATCATAATTCACCCATTTCAAGTGTACAGTAATTTTTAGTAAATTTACCAAGTTGTGCAACCATCATCATAAATAAGTTTTAGAATATTTTCGTGATTCCACTAAGATCCGTTATGTTCATTTACTGTTAATTCCCATTCCCACCCCTGCCCCTGACAACCACTAATCTCCTTTCTGTCACTATAGATTTACCTTTTGTAGATATTTCTCATAAATTGATTCATGCAGTGTGTGGTCTCTGTGTCTCGCTTCTTTCACATAGCATATTTTCTAAGTTTGTCCCTGCTGTAGCATGTATCAGTAGTTTATTCCTTTTTTTTTTTTTTTGCTGAGTAGTATCCCATTGTTTGAATATAACCACATTTTGTTTATCCATTTATCATTTGATGGATACTAAGGTTCCTTCTACTTTTGGGCTATTATGAATAATGCTGCTATGAATATTTATGTGCAAGTCTTTGTATGAATATACAAGCGTTTGTAAGAAATGTTTTTATTTCTTTTGGGTACATAGTTGGAAGTGGAATTGTTGGGTCATATGGTAAATATATTGTATTTTAACTTTTTAAGGAGCCGCCCTACTGTTTTCAAGAGTAGCTGTACTATTTTACATGTCTACCAGTAGTGTATGCAGGTTCTCATTTTTCCACATCCTCCCTGACATTTGTTATTTTCTGTCTTTTAGGTAATAGCCATCCTAGTGGTTATGAAATATTATCTCATTGTGGTTTTTATTTGCATTTCCCTAATGACTGATGATGTTGAACATTTTTCATGAGCTTATTAGCTGTTCGTTTATCTTCTTTGTTGAAATCTCTGTTCGAATCTTTTGCTCATTTTTTTATTGGGTTGCTTGTCTTCTTATTATGGTTTAGGTCATGAAGATAATTTGAAGTTTACTCTGCAGAGATTGAGAAAAAACATGCCAGGAAGTGAAAACAACAATTTAAAAAACAATAAAAACAAGAGCTGACATTGATTGAACATTTATTCTATGCTAAGTGTTTTTTAAATTGCATTACCTGTATTCGTGCATTTAATCCTGACAACAAACCCTATGATGCAAGCACTATTTTACCCTCATTTTACAGATGAGGAAACTAAGATTAAGAAACTTGCTCCAGGTCACTCAGCTAATAAGTGGAGGAGCCAGAAAATGTTGAAAGTGCATGATCTTGACCTAAAATAGCAAGTAGTCTTGGGATGGGCAAGCTAGATCTTGGAATGGTAAAGGAGAAGCTGAATAACACTATACATGTGGATTGCATCCAGAATTGTGTCTTTTGAGTTTTACGTATGATGGAGAACTATGGAATATATTCAAGTAAAACAGTAATATGGTAATGTTAATTGCAGATGTATTCCCCCCGCAGGGCAATATTATTCTTTAATTTTATTTTCACTTTCATAATTGGAATCAGGAATGATGAACTGCTTATGGGTTTAACACATTCGTTTTTTATTTACTCAGCAGATATTAATTACATCTATATTTTGCATATTTCATTGCATCGCATAGAAAAGAGCATTCAGTAAATATTTTATCTATATTTAGGTAAGATATATTCAGGAAAGCCATAGGACTTTTAAAGTGACTACAGTGATAAAATGTAACTTAATGTCTTCTAAACTTTTTCATTTACTGCTTTAAAAATTAGAGGAAAAAAAAACTTTTTAATATAACCTATTTTTTTTTGTGATGCCAAGAACATATGTCCCTTTAGTTTTTACTTTTTTTTTCCCATACAAGAATTTATATATACATTATTATGTGACTCTAATTGCTCTCCCCATACTGTGATAGCACACTCTTCCTTTCCACCCCTGATTCCCCATGTCCATTCAACCAGCTCCTAACCCTCTCTGCCTTGCCATCTCACCTCCAGACAGAAGCTACCCGTTTAGTTTCTTGTATCTACTTGAGCTAAGAGGCACACTCCTCAGGAGTATCACTTTATGTCCCACAGTCCAGTCCA